TAATGAACCTAATACTGTAGAGGATACTTTTGAGTAGACACGCATGGTGTTGTGATATAAGTACAGTGGTACCTCGCAAGACGAATGCCTCGCAAGACAAAAAACTCGCTAGACGAAAGGGTTTTTTGTTTTTTGAGCTGCTTCGCAAGACGATTTTCCCTATGGGCTTGCTTCGCAAGACGGAAACGTCTTGCAAATTTGTTTCCTTTTTCTTAACACCGTTAATACAGTTGCGACTTGACTTCGACTTGACTATTCATGTGGTAGCCTTTTTTGAGGTTTTTAAAGACTTTGGTGATTTTTGAAGCTTTTCCAAAACTTTCCCGACACCGTGCTTCGCAAGACGAAAAAAAATCGCAAGACGACAAAACTCGCGGAACGAATTAATTTCGTCTTGCGAGGCACCACTGTATCTCTTTCGCTTTCTCTCTGCCTCCCCCAACTCTCATTTTAAATGCACTGCTATGATCATTCACACAGGCATGCATCTGCTTAAGGTGAAGCCTGAATCCAGAACCAGAACAGGCTGTTTCTGAACAATTTGAGCTTTGTCCGAGAGGAAGCACGGCTTCCCAGAAGCAGCTTCAAATGAAGTTTCAGACTGTTTGTTAAAAATAGTTCCATTTCCCATGTGCCCATAAAAGTAAAACAGCTGGTGAGGAGAATAAGATGAGGGAATGTAGTTTTCTGACTGCCTTTCAACAAGAGAATAATTAGACTAGGGTTTGAACTGGTGGTGAATGATCAGGAAAGAGATATTGGGGTCCTGGAGGAGAGTATAGTAAAAAGACACTTGAGCTGAGCTGAGCACATGGTAAAGGGGCCATTCATTTACTTCCCTATAAACACAACTTGCTGTAAGCCACAAAGGTTTATCCCATAATAAATTTGTGAGTCTCTAAATTGGCAAAAGATTCTTTGTTGGTTTTGCTGCAACACAATCTGAAACTATAAGTGATTTATAATATTATTTGCTTGACTCTTCGGTTGTGAAAATGAGCCTGTGAAGCAGGTCACATGAGAATACAAACCCAATGAAGATACAAGACAAACCAGAAAAGAGGGTGAGATCCAGTTTTGTCTACCAAGTTTCACAGTGGGAATCCACTTTCATGCTAGGACTACCAGTTCTATCAAGGTGTTGCAGCGGGAGGAGAGGGAGGAGAAACCCCATTGCTTCAGAGGACACATACACTATGTTGAACCTCACCCATTGTAATATTTACCACCATGTCATAACTTTGTTTTCAGCAGCTTTGCAATGGCATAGCTTACTGTGGATTGAGTTATGAGATAGGTGCATGGTCAAAAAATTGTGCAACTTTTCCATAAGCAAACCAAACCTGCCAATAGTGCATCACCACCATGCACTTTGGGAAGTTTAAATTGGCCCTACATTAATAACTTAGTAACAAAAGAAGCCTAATAGAACGGCGAGTTCTTAATTTCAACCTGCAGAACTATAGTTACTGATTTATGGAACTGCACCATGTTTCAGTTTAAGCAAGGTTATTTGCTGAGCTGAGTAGAACCAGATACTGCATGAAACCTGAAAGCAATGAACTTTATAAAACTCTCCCCCCCCCTGAACTTTATAAAACTCTCCTCTCTCTCTCTCTCTCTCTCTCTCTCTCTGTGTGTGTGTGTGTGTGTGTGTTTAGGGGCATGGGGTTTTACTTTTAGTTTTATAAAAGCTTGCATTTTCTAAATCCATGTGAACCAACAGAGAAATTGAGATTTTCATGAAATCTCTAAAGAATCAGGTTGCTCACTTTCAGTCAACTGCAGCTGCTAATCCAAGGGAATTATCAGGTGAATTGAAGAGAGAGTCTCTGTGGTGCTCTGTTCAGATTAATGAGCAAGGGCTTTGTCCTTACAGACACTTGCAATATTCATCTTCACTACACTTTTTGTGAATTCCGGCTCCTCTGACTTCATAGAATGATTTCAGGATTGGTTCAGAAGAAGCAGAGACACCAACTGGAACAGTGATAAATATAAGGGAGCTGTGAAGCAACAGCCTAAAGGGACCACAGAAATTCTTGATAGAATTCTCCATCTCCTCCATTCCTTGCAATACCCCCACTAGAGGACTGGTAATCTTTATGCATTTGTGGAACTGCAAATGTTTCGTGACCAAAAGAACAGCAGGCTAAGCAAATTAGTGACAGCTGAAGAGCAGGGGGAATTGCTTGCCCCATGTGAAGATGCACACTCCAGCCTCCACTTTCAAAGTTGGTTTGCAATATCGAAGGAACAACATCTGCTATTTGGTATTCGTTAGACCACCAAGGGGGCAGGAAACCAAGCTGGAGGAGAAAGGGGGAAATCGGAAGCTGGGTGAGGATAGGAAAAGGAAAGGCAGAAAGAATGTAATCCCACTAAATGCTGTGACCTCTATTATCACCTTCCAAGTTACTTACACCCACTCCTCAATTTAAAGTGCAGCGGTCACAGGGAAACCACTGCAAAAGGGGCAGGTGACACAGGCAAGCACGAATAGTAGCAAATTGCCCATCAGATGGTAATTTGCCACAGCTAAGTACATTCCAGAGCTCATGAAATAAACCATTCCGAAGTGACATTTATATGAACAAGGGAATAGCACTGCATGTGGCATTTCAATGCCTACAAAACCTTTAATGGCAAGGAGAGAATCTTGTGACAAACAAGCAAATGCTATTTATTGTACAACACTCTGTCCCATTCAAGCAGAGATGAGAAGGGTGATGCCAAAGAAGATGCATAAGAATCCATTTGTGACTAATCACACATAATATGAAGGAATGGAAATCCAGAAATAGAAAAAAGCTGCTGCCTTCGGCATGATTCTTCTATCTTCAGTTTCAGTATTGTATATGTTCAGTCTTCAGGAATATAAATTCTTTCAGTCTTAATGGTTCGATGCCTTGAGCACCCAGAAATTTCAGCAAAGGTGTTGTGAAATATAGCTTTTACCTGAACATCAACCTGGTGTTAATTTTTCAGATCAGGCATGCAGAAGCGATTTGATAATTAAGTCATTGCCACTACACTATATTTAAACTGCTACTTATAATTTGATTTTCTATGGCTGGATTAATTGCCATCCACACATCAATGATACTTCTTTCTTCGTGTCTGTTTCAGCCTTGCCATTGTCTCTTTAAAAGCATTCACACACACACACACACACACACACCGGTTTTTATTTTCATGATGTACAAGCAGTGCATTTGCAAGGAAGGAAGCAAATATACCTTGATGACATGGGGGCTGAAGCATTGTTTGCTTTATTTAACCCTTTGAATGAAGGAGTATAATAAGGCACTCAAAGATGTTTTGCTTTACTACAGTTTTACTGCAGGGTCTCCCCTTTACTACAAATTTACTGCAGGGTTGTTATTAATATTTTAAATACAGATGGGCATTATTACAGATATAATTATCTCAGCAAGGCTAATTCAACTGAATTTTATCTTACTCCCCACCCATCTTTCAGTAGCATCTGACATATTGGATCATTTACGGCAACTGCTGTTATATTATCTTACCTGACATCTGGATTTGGCTATTGCGGGGTTGGGGATCATTTCTATTGATCCAAGTCATAGCTTCTGAAATGCTTATTTTGCCTGCATAATCTTACCAGGAAGGGAAACCAGATTATTCTTTAATGGCATTTTGTATTAGACCTGCTTCTTTTTACTATCAACATTTAACATCTCCAAGAACAATTGCATTTCCCCCCACAGCTGGCATATGTATGACATTAAGGTAGCCTCTGTGACTAGGAGTACATTGTATCCCCTTCAGCTAACATGTGGCCATTATTGACTCAGGATAGCCATTTCTGTCCCAGGACAGAAATCTATGCATTTGTGACTTCAGGACTGGGTTATTGCAATGTACTTAGTGTAAGGCTTCCCTTATGTTTCATCTGGAAACTGCAATTTCTGCAATGCTGCTGCATGATTGCTGACAGCAGTAAAAACTCTGTTAGCATATTAAATTCCTGTTTAGAAGTGTCTGCTGATATGTTACTAGAGAAATTCAAGGTATTATTATTAGGATATAAAGCCCTCAATAGCTGGGACCAGTTTACTTGTAGGATTGCCTGCACCATGCATAGCTGCTTGACTTTTTTTGATATTTAATTATTTAATTATTTATTTATTTATTTAATTTATATTCCACCCTATACCCAGAGGTCTCAGGGTGGTTCACAGAAAAGATCACAATATATAAAATAAAAATAAAAACAATAACCCAATAACACCCCCTCCCAAAAGAGCCACATTTTAAAAGGGTATAGAATGTCAGGTCAACCAAAGGCCTGTTTAAAAAGGAATGTTTTTGCCTGGCGCCTAAAGGTGCATAATGAAGGTGCCAGGCAAACTTCCCTGGGGAGAACATTCTACAGATGGGGAGCCACTGCAGAGAAGGCCTGTTCTCATGTTGCCACCCTCTGGACTTCTCGAGGAGGCGGCACACGGGTAGGTTCATATGGAAAGAGGCGGTCCTTGAGGTATTGCGGTCCTGAGCCATTTAAGGCTTTACAGGTCAAAACCAGCACTTTGAATTGGGCCCAGAAACTAATTGGTAGCTGGTGCAGTCAAACCAGGATTGGTGTAATGTGTTCAAACTGTCTTGCTCAAGTGAGCAACGAGGCTGCTGAATTCTGCACTAGCCGAAGTTTATGAACAGTCTTCAGATACGTGGAAATGGCATTTTTCAGTGCCACATAATGTGCATTCTGCGCTTGTGAGAAATCAGTCTTTCAGTGTGGCAGCATTTGCTCTCTGAAACTACCTCTCCATTGATATTAGGCAGGTGCCTTCACTGTACACTTTTTGCGGTGCTGTTTCTCCTCTGATGTGGTTCTACTTCCAACAAAGTTATGTTATTCACCTTCCTGTCTGCTGTGGTGTAATTTTACGTAATTAATCACATAGTTGTTATCTCACACCATTCATTTCAATGGAAGGTTGTTTAGTGCAAAGGAAATGCAAATGGGAAAAGGGCATCAATTAAGCTTCATTTGCAGACTGAAAACAGCAACAGCAGTGAATATACATCATATTCTCTGGATTAATTTATGTTATGGACATGGGGCAAACAAGCAAACATTGAAAATTTCCGTTCCTCTCTCTCTTTGCGTTCTTCGACAATGCTAGTTGAATTCAGCCTGCCTCTGAAGACATCCTAAAATGCCCTGTAAATAAAGCAGAAAAACAGATGTAGCTTTTACTGGGGAATACCCCCCCCCCTTGGCTTGAGAAATTGAAGCATAGATTTCAGCCCAGCACTAGCTTGCAAAGTTTGCAAAAGATTTCAGGTGCATTGTTCCATCTATAGTTGCCTAGCAGTAGTGGACAGATTCACACATGCAGGCACCAACGTGCTAAACACAATTCCACGTTGGCTGCCCCATTCATTGCGGCATTCTGTTTATGTTGCAATTTGGGTTTGTCCCATTGTCTTAGGAGCTATCCCATTTTATCATCACAACAATCCTGAGAGGAACATTAGATTGAGACATCCTGACTTGCTCAACGCCACCAGTGAATTTCATGGCTTAAGAATTAGCCTTAAATTCCCACATCAAAACCCAACTTTAGCCACTATATGACACTGAACCTCTTGATAGAAATCAATTGCTTCTTATTGCTCTAGCAATTCCAGTATTATAAGTTAGAGATGCTTGGGGAATTCAATTTCTGTGAATTTTAGTGTGAACTGGCCTGATCTGCACTTCATAGACCAGAACTTAATTTTCCTTTGAATTTCACACTTCTACAATATTTGCAATGCAGTTCTCAGATCAAAAATGCATTAAAACATGATGTCTGCTCTACTAATAGTCCATGGTCCAGGAAGTTGGCAAGGATTCTATTAGTAACAGTGCATCCATTCATAAAATCAAAGAAGTATAGATTTGGAAGGGCCTGAGGGTCGTCTAGACCAAGTTCCTGAAATGCAGAAATATTTTCTGCAATGTGGGGCTCAAACCCATGACCCTGAGATTAAGAGTCTCATGCTCAACCAAATGAGCTATTTGTTGTCCAATTTATTTCTGCATTGCAGGGTTTTTGGATTCAGTGAACCTCAGGGACCCTTCTAACTCTACAATCCTATGATTCTATGCATTTTTGATAAAATATGTTTAGCAATGTGTATATATATTTGAAACATACATTTTTTTCCAAAAAAAATATTTTATTGTCAAATATGCTTTTAAAAATAAATTTACAAATCACATTTGCCCAGAACTATTTCAAATTGCATATTCAATGAGGAAATGGGATGGAATGGATTTATGAATGAACACATGTATATTAGCACAAACCTGAAATAGATCCATCGCACCTACCACCACGTGCTCTCATTTGCAGCAGTGTTCCTTGGACATAAGAATAGAAATTACGTTAGCCATCTTTTATCAAAAGATAGACAAAGTTATTTGAGCAAGCCTACACACAAATACAGGGATCTTTCTATGTTTTAAGACTTATTGCACAATTGTCTGATCAGCATCTGTGCAGAAGCTCATTTGAGGAAGGGTCAGGGATACACAGAAGCTTCTGATAATGTCATAGGCAATGGAGTCACATGGGTTACATAATCTAATCGCTAGTTGTGGGTGCAGAAAAGGTGTTTAAACCATGTGTCCTCAGAACTCTTAAAATGTCAAGGAAGATGAATGAAAATTAAATACATTCCATTACAGTGCCATAGAATATGTTATATATACCACCTGAAATGAAGGGCCATATATTACTTTTATCACACACATAGCTCTGTCTTTGAGTTATGTTGCTTTCTTACTGAGTGTACAAAAAAATGATAGATTAAAGAATTAATAGATGGAGTCACCTACCATTATGAAAGTAATATTTAATCATCATAAAATTCTACGGGTCCAGGATTCTGTCCCACCCTATCCACCACCCCATAGACTAAGAAAAAAGAACATTAAGTAAAGGTGAGACCTTGATGAAAGAGCTAAGCGTTATATTTTACTCACTAGAGTTTTATATAGCTCAGTGCCCACATCAGTGATAAATCTTCTCATTCAGAGGCAGTTATCAACATCTTAAAAGGACAGTGTGTGGTTGGACCTGTTCAAGCTGCTCATATCCACATACTTTTGTTTGTTTGCTGTTTAGAATGGTCATACATGGCACTCAGATATTTATTTGAGAAGTTGGGTATTTGAACATTGCTTACCCAGGATGTGTATTCATACATTGTACAGGGACAGTAGTTAATCTGTACACTACTAGACTGTTGGTTGTGTCTGCACACAATTACAAGTGTCTACACCTTTATTTATTTTTAAAGGACTATATGACCATATGACTTCAGTGACATTGCTGACCAAGGAATGTTGCATAACGTATAAAAAAGTTGTTGTTTTTTTTAATTAGGGAATGAATTAACTCAAATAAGGTATTTACATGATAACAGGTTTGCTATGTGAGCACAAGAGTGGTGGTTTCCCCCCCCCCCCCGGTGTTGTTTTGTTGATTTGCACTTCTCACTGAGCACATCCCTCCCTGTCACAGAGGGTACCCCCAACCCTCAACACCACATTTGGTAGGGTAGTGAGAAAGGTGGCAGAAAGGGAGCGGTAAGAAAGACCCTTTGTGTTAGTGGAATTCTGTACATGGAAATTAGTACCCAAGCTGTAGTGTTTCCTCACCACCAGTTACTGAAATATATTGTCAGTGTTTTGCTTTAGAAGGAAACTTGACAAAGAGGGCTGACAGAGATTAACTTGGAAACTGGGTCCCTCTTTCCAAGGGTGCTTGTGTACATAATATTTTGGGGAGCCCTCCTCAACTTTGTTAGGATTGTGAATAACAGCTTATATTGCTGGTGACCTTGGAACCTGTTTTCCTACGCCACCTCAGTAAGCATCTGAATACAGGACATTGCATGAATACAAAAATTACCATGTAAAATAACCATGTAAAACTACTTCATCAGCAGTACATGTATTACTACCCAGTCATAGTTCCTATCCTCTGTTTCATATCAAAATATTCGTATTGGGATACACTTTCAAACCAAGCTGAAAATACAAGATTTTGCATGTAAACTAATTGTCTCATTCTTTATTTCATTTGGGTTTTTACTGTACACTGAGAAACCAGAGTATAGGCTTGTTCTTACATTGATGCCTTAGAGCAGATGACATGAGTATGAAAATTCCATTTTCATATCTGAGCAACAAAGTATTATATAAGACAAGCAAAGCAAACAGAAGGCAAATTGAATCCCAGTAACATGTGAAATACAAAAAAACTCAGTAAAGGAAAAGGAGACACATTATCGGCAATTACATGCAAATTGCCATTCTTTTGGCAGACTCTTCCAAATACTATCTCATGGCAACTCTGTAAATTACATTTATAGGCCAGTAATTGTAAATTATTATGCTTTGTTATTACTGTTACTTTATTTTTCAATTTCCTTTTTTTTGTATTGGGTTATATCTTCCTCCCCCACCCAGATTTCAATTTCTCTGCCCATTTTCAGACACTTCAGGCTGACAGTTATTCACACATAGAGACAGGGAAATGCCACTGGGCTGGTGTGCTCCCCATATTATTGGCTGTCTGCCTTTATCCCAAAACACTATTGTTGTGAGGAAAATGTGGTTCCGATCTAGGAACCTTTGTAAATTATCTGACTAGGCACAATCAGTGAAGACCTACAAATTTTGCCACAAGAGACAAAAGTCTGTTCCCCACCCAAAATATTGGAGCCCAATCTGAAGAAGTGTGCATGCACATGAAAGCTCATACCAATAACAAACTTAGTTGGTCTCTAAGGTGCTACTGGAAGGATTTTTTTTTTATTTTGTTTCGACTATGGCAGACCAACACATCTACCTACCTGTAACCCCACCAACATTGCCACCCCATCCCTATGCTATGTAACTACAGAAATAGTGGCTATATAAATTCTATTCTAATAATAAAATTATTAATAAATCAAGAATGAAACCAAATTTAATAGTGCTACAACAGGAGCTGTACATAAGTTTCTTTTTTTAAAAAGAAAGTCTATGAAAACTGACCTACTTTATAGGATTGTTGTGATGGTAAAATAGGAAGGGGGAGAACAAAATACACCCCTGTCAGCTGCTTGAACATGCATGAATGAATGCTATAATGTGGGTCCATCCACAAAAGACCTGTGATATCCAGAAACTGGACCAGAGGCATCCCAGTCTACTTTGGAAGACTGGATGCAAAACCATCTGCCATTGCTGAGCATGCCCCTTTTTTATATTAAAACTTATATTTAATGAACGAGAAACAGGCACACTGTTTATGTTTATTCATAACAAGTTAGATCTTACTTTTGAAGATAAAGAAACAAGTTTGATTATATATAGTACCAGCTATGCATTTTGGCACTGATAGGAATTTTAGCAATCAAGAGGAGATAAAAAGGCTTCAGAGAATTTAATCACATACTTCAAAGTAGACTTAAGAACATATATTTCAGAAACTGAGATAAAATATGAATGTTTAATTTACCATCTTTCTTTCTTATCACAAGTGTTTCTGATTCCAATGCTAATAACCTAGTTGATTTTGACAGCTAACAGTGCTCGTCTAAAAAAAATAAAAATAACAAACTGAACGAACTTTTGTTGCACGAAGAAACTGCTAATTAGCTCTTAGTTTCCAGAATGATTGCATGGAGGCTTAACTTTACTCATGCAAAGGTCAACATGCCTGCTTAAGTATTCACAGAATGGAGGGAAGGAATGAATGAAGACTATGCAACCACACAGTCTTTGCTTAATGTAATGTATCCCGAAAATCATATGGAATAAGCAGATTCTTTCTTTAAGCAATTTCTTTAGCTGCTTCTTGTATTTTCCTCTCTTCTCCTCTCACAAAATCCCTTGTGATAAGAAAGTGATGGTGTGAGAGTGCAGATGCTGAACTGTTCTGGAAACATGTCTTTTTTGTGGCTGTTTTCCAGAGTCTCGCAACAGTACATTGTCAGTAGGATGACTTGGCTCTTAGGTTGCTGCACAACGCACGTAAGGGAAAGAAGTGGTTTTTAGCAACTCTTCTTCTGTCTACACTACAGTCCCCCTGCTCCTGTGGAGGATGGTCAGAGCCCCACCAACATCTGTCTCTCACCAGCAGGTCCCACCTTCCTACTTTCTTACTTACAATGAGTCCAGAGGGTGGCTTTGACTGTCAGTTTCTTCCATCTTCATCTCAGTGTTGCTCTTGTAGAACTCATCAGGGAATTGGCTAGGAACAAAACTAGAATTAGTAGGCTCAGCTTCACATTGGCTCTGGCTCCACCTATTGTCTTCCTGTCTTCCAGTTGTAAGGGACACCAGCTGATCATATCCCACTGTATTCCCAACACACAATAACATATTTTAGGAGTGCTCAGGGAGATACAGAGGTAAGGGTGAGATGGGAAGGCCCCATGTCATAAATTCTGTTTTGCATGTGGAGGAAACGTTAGGTTGTGCCCCAGTTTTGCTGGAGTCCTCCTCATTACAAGAGCAACCACATTTTTGTTTGCTATTTTGCCTAATATGGTATTTGTAAGCATTTTGAAAGCAACTTCCACCACTGGATTGTTACATGATATTTATGCTAATATGTTTACACTACTGTAACCCATCCACACACCTTATAGTGAAGGCAGTGAGAAATCCTATGAACAAATCAATAAATAAATGGTGCATTTTAATGTACCCTCTATCTATCTATCATCTATCTATCTATCTATCTATCTATCTATCTATCTATCATCTATCATCTATCATCATCTATATCTATCTATCTATCTGTCTGTACCATCTATCTATATCTTTGTACACTTTTGTTGGTTGGAGAATTGCACTGAGAAATTCAGAGATATGTACATTATGAGGGATAGTTGTATTTCATTTCACTTATTGTTTCAGGAAGTGCATACGCATACTAGCATGTGAATAGAACCAAATTTCTCCTCCATCCCCGGCTGACACACTAAGTAACACCCAACTTCAGTTCGCAAATGATTACTTTTCATTTTGTCTGACTTTCCAGCATCTGACAATTGCCTCAAGAAAAGGAAGCCACAAACACTAAGAGATGGAATGAATGTTAAATGCTGTTGATTTAAAAAGAAAGGAAAATCAAACCAGAAGAAAAGAGTCCCTTCCGATGGGAAGTGAAAATAGAAATGCAAATCAAACCTAAATACTTAACATATCTGATAAACAACTTTATAAAAATAGAAATAAAAAAATGGCAAAGACCTTGGGAGTGTTCTTATCTTGGCTCATCTAAGCTTACTCATGTCTGCATATTACAATTCTGCTATGAACACTGATCAACAAAGTCACTTTCCATCTGGTCTGTTAGGTCTTTTTGTTAATACTGAAGCTGTTCTCCATTACCCATGCACAGCTGGAACCAAATCAAGGGTATATCTTAAAATAATTTGTAGGCACAGCAGTAGATTTCTAGGCAATATATTGAGGAGATTTAACTTGGAAGCCACAGCCCAAGCAACTGAAGATAAAGATATCAGCAATGTATTTATACCATTTGAAATCAAAACCAATACCTGGGCTTGGGAGCCTGCAATCCTATAGCTGTTATTTGTCTCTGGCTCCCATCAGCCCTAACCAGCAATGGCAGCACCTGGAGGGTCCTGCTCAGCACCTAGAGGGTCCTGCCCATTTTATATACCGTTTAAAGTTCCAATCTAGAACAATAGCAGGGCCAGCAAAATGGTGTTCAGTATTGTGTGCAGCAAGGATGCACTAATGTCATGCAACTTACTGCTGGCCAAACATAGGATGTAAGTTGACATTGCAATGCTTGTCATTCTTGCTAGTTGTACAAAGTTACAGAAATCAGTGTAGTCAGAGAGGGTGTCGTAGGGGTGCCAGGCCAGCATACGAGAGGCAGCAATAGCCTATACCCCATCCTAAAGACATTTTGACAATTACAGAATGACCTACATAAACTGACACTTAAGGGTCTAACACAGAGAAGCTGCTAGGTTAATACTAAAACCTTATTGGCATTTGCAGCCCTGTTTCCCTTGTCTCTCAGAGACATACACTGCTGGCAGTCACTCTATATGTCTTTTCATTCATACTAACCCATTGTGAAACATTTACACAGAATCAACATCCATCTCCTGCTGCCTCTGCGGCTAAGTCTACTAACATGAAGATTCATTTCTGAGAGGAAGCAACATGGAAAAGAGTTATTCATTATTGTACAGTAAATAGAAGAGAGTTAAAACTTATTTCTCAAATAAATATTTTTTTTTTTTCATTTCCTTCAGGGTGGATCCATTCTACAGAAATCTTTGTAGCAGGATAAGTGGGATCATCTTTAAGGATGGTCCTGGTTGTGGGCAGACCCTCAGGCTGGTTCCTCCTCCCCTGGCGTGGGCAGAGTAATGCTGTCATGCCAGGGTGGCACCACAATCTTGGACAATCACTTTTGTGTGGGGTGATCATGGAGGGATTAAAAAGTGGCAGCCTGACGCGTGTCAGGCACCTGCTTTGCGCTGCCAAACACCCACCTACCCGCTCTTTATTTTAGATGTCCTCTGGCCTTGCTTTGGACTTTGGTTGGTCACCTGTGTTGGGATGTGGGCCAGGTAGGAATTTTTCCTTTTGGCAGATTGGCACTGGCCATTTAGTTTTTGCCTACCTCTTAGCAATCGTCACAACTTTGTAAGGTTTGGCGGTTAGGCACCGGCTCATTGATTTGTGGGGGAGGGGAGATCAGCCATCGCCTGCCCCTCCATTGACCAAGGGTATTCCATTAAAGGAATCCAGGGCCTGGATCCTGTCTGAAGTCCACTTGAGGGGCTAGGGCCATGCCAGGCCTCTGGGGACACCGAGGAGAGCTACAGGCGAGTTCCTCCGATGTGGCTTCCTCTTTGGGTGGTTTACCCTTACTGACTTCCTGCAAAGGGGGCAGGAGTCTGATACAGTGCTTTGCCAATGCCTAAGCCAATACCGTTCACATTTCTGTAATCAATAAAGTTGTGGCCTAAAATTTTGCCCAATAACCTTAAACCAAAATTCTGTGTCAGTGTGAATTTTATTCTAACAAGGGGCTGGTTTGGGGCCTTGCCATGCAATCTGGTGTAAGGGTATCAAAATGGATTTCTCAAAATTGGGAAATCCAAACTTGGATTTCCTAACTTGGGTCTCCAGCTCTTTTTGGACTACAACTTACTGGGATTTCAGATCCGTTCGTCCAAGCTGATAAGGCTCATCTTCCTCCGAGCCCTCCCAGCAGAGCATTAAAACAACACCACAGAGGAAGGATGAGATAGGTATGGGCTACACACCATGCTTTATTACTAAGCTATGCAAAGAGCAAAGAAATATCCATCTTCTCTCTATGAGAGCAGAGAGCAACTGAACACAAAGGAGCAAAGGAACAAAGGAAACAGGAAACCAGTAACGTCACATCCCGTCTCCCTTTCCCGTGAGACTCCAACTGTATCTGGACTCTGGAATGTAAACACAGTCCTATGATTGCAAGCAGCTGTACAGTGAGGAAACAGAAACTAACACAACTCCCATCATCCCTCGCTAGCAGGACCAGTGGTCAGGGATGGTGAGAATTGTAGTTCAAAAACAGGTGGAGACCCAAGTTTAGGAAACTCTGGGTATATCACCATATACATGCAGATCCCCCAGAAAATGTTATAAAATCATTGAGTCACAGCCTTTTGGTGATACAGCAATTTCATTACCTCCATATGAAATTGAACTTTTCCCAGGAAATTTATATAAAGCAGGGGTAGACCACATAAAGATGGGGTTCCATCCAAATGGTGTGGACTACAACTCCCATCAGAACCAGCCAGCATGGTCAGGAATGATGGGAGATGTAGGCCATGAGATCTGACTGGTACCACATTGTCTACCCCTGTCATGCGGCATTTATACTCTCTTTTCCCATCATTGATAATCCTATTTCCCATCATATGATGCCCATACATTGGATTGGAGACTACTACTGTTACATAGAAACACATAAATGCACACTTGATGCGTCCATAAACATCTTACGATGCCCTAGCACACAACATGGTGCTTGTCCTTGCATTGGCAAAGCTCACACCTGAATTCTGTGACCTCCTCACTGTAAACAAGTCCATTCAACCCAAGTAGCATCCTTAAATTTAATTAGCTTGCTTTGTAACATTTCTTCCTGATCATTAAACACCATAAAGAAAACAGGATCAAGTATAGATCCCTGCAGCAATATCTGTCAAACTGGAGAATTATCAATGTTTATGGTGCTGCATTGCTGCTTTCCCATTTTTACCGAACTAAAATGAGGAAATGGCCAGTTTATATTTAAGTGATATTATACCAGAATTCCTTTAGTGTCCCAAAGGACAATAGATGCTGTCTGTCACTACTGGGAGCAGCTAGGAGGAAGATGCATTGGATCATAGATAAGGAGAAAGTGGAAATAGAACAGTATTTTTCTATTCAATCCCAGGCATGGATAAATAAACAGAGAGAGTCTTACTGAGCCTCTGGTGGGCCACACTTGTAGATGGATGGTGGTCTTTCATTTAGCTTGGTGGGTCATAAGTTGTTCAAGCTTGCTTTCAATGGAGCAGTGCAGGAATCCATATTATGCATCTGATGATTGCTGTAATTCACAAAAAATATGCCGTAATGAATGTGTTAGTTTTTAAGATGCAGCAAGACTTTTTTTATTTTTTATTGCTGCAACAAAAAACAATACTATGAATTGTGTAGGAGGGGGGTCCATGGTGGAGCTACTGCCAAGATTTATGCCCTTCTAGTTTTCTGCAAGCATGGTGGGAAAGTGGGCTTTTTTTCTTTATTTTCTTCCATCAAATTAAAAAAAAAAACTTCCCATTGACACCAATAGAAGAGGAATTAACTATCTCAACTCCAGGGCGGGCATAGTTTTCAGCCCTTTTGAGGGTAATGTTGGGAAAAACAAGGGCGCTTGGGATTTCTTGGGTCCAAGATCTTCCCCCACATGCTCCTTTTTGGACCCTGCCACAGGTGGAATTTCATCAAGCATTTTGGGGGCTCCTCTGTAGCGTAGGTACCATCCTGCAAATGGAGATCCACTTTGTTGGCAGAGCAATATTTACAATGATTCCTAAGGCACCTTAGCTGGACTCCCTGCAAAGATAGACTTGCTGTGCAACAAAGCTGCACATGCTTCTGGAAACTGTTGTCATAGGAAATGTTCTCCACAATCCATAAATACCAGGAATTAGCCCTGGTGTTTGTTCGTAGCAAACACTGGAGGTTGTTTCAAGTGAAGTCAATGTGCTTGCAGAATGACTTCTGTTCTTGCAACAGAACTTCCATTCCTTCGCTTCTTGCCCCAGCCTCCATCTATTTGGTAGGGTTGAGGACACCCGCCTCCCAGGATCTGAGTGTATGTGCCTGTACACGGGCATGCAAGGAAAGAAAAAGAAAGAGAAGTTCCATTGTTTAAGTGGACAAGCACAACAACTTCATTGGACACAACCCTAAATTGCCAACTGCTGATGCCAAAAGGTGACTGGTTCTATCAAATGGGTCTATGCCTTATGTATCATTAGTCCATAAGTTCCTTTATTTATATGTATGACAATGACTTTGTTGTAGAATCATAGAGTTGGAAGAGGATGGTTGTTATTTAAGTGTCCCTGGTTAGAGCATGATGCTAATAACACCAAGGTTGCAGATTTAAACCCCAGATGGGACAGCTGCATATTCCTTCATTGCGGGGGGTTGGACTAGATGATACTTAGGGTCACAACCAGCGTAGACTGGTAGGCACCTTGGATATAACCAGTGTGCCACAGATTTTGTTTCCTGTTTACGTAATACATTTGCTCTAATTATTATTATTATTTGTTAGCATCCACATTTATGCTATATTATGTTTCTTTATCTTTTTCTTGGAAAAAGAAAAGAAAACTCTAGTGAAAATATATTTACAATTCCTTTCTAATATATATATAAAAAATGCCTCCTCCTATCTAGGGCAAAAATCTTTTTAAAGCCTTACAATATACTTTTGCCCTACGGCCTGAGACCTTGTCACATTTAACTGTATTTGAGCTTTCACAGCTATAAATGGTCTCAATGATCATAAAGCTATTCAACCTTTTTAAAATACAGCCACTGTATTTGACTTACTGACCTTGCATGGCAATGAAATCGGCAGGTATTCTGCAGTAAGGATCTTGGACCAGGCTTCTAAATAATCTTTTATTAACTAGAAAGTCAACATTCCTCTATAAGTTTTGCTTTTGTGGAATTATTTTGCTATTTTTCATCCTAATATAAAGATATGAAAGCTGTAGGGCCTGAGTCTGTGCATGTTTACCCAGAAGTAAATCCTACTGAGTTCCACAGGGCTTCCTTCCAAGTAAGTGTGCACTGTGTGCAGGATTGCAGCTTTAGAGCAAACAACAACAACAAGAAGAAATGTGCATCCTGAAAATGACATTTAACAAGCATTACTATCATTTTCACAACCAATTAACTAAGAATTAATAATTCTAAATACATATACCTTGAAGGCTTTTCTATCACTCATTGAGATAATTAACTAAAAAAAATGTTATATGCAGAAATTCTGTGTCTGCAAAAGACACAGGCTGCATACTCACCATAAAGCACATTTAAGGCACACCCTCCCCCCTAAAAAGGAATAATGGGAACTCTAGTTTACTACACACAAAGCAACATTTCCCTACACCTTTAATAAACTACAGTTCTCAGGATTCTTTTTTGAGGGGATGCTTTAAATGTGTGGTGTGTATACAGCCATAGGCCACAACACAGAGAAATTTTATCCACTTAAACCCCACAGCTTTCGAGGGTACTTCAGTGTTCATAACTGTATGAGATTGTGGCTGTCTGTCAGTCAAGGAACAAAAATAGAACAGGAATATACTTACGCTACTTGACATTATTATGACCACTGCTAGTATTTGACATTCTTATAATGCCAACTGTGTGCTCAGCATTGTAGAGAACACAGAAATGACCCAGTGCTTGCTCAGAGGGCGTGCACTCCAAGTATGATAGATAGGACAATGGTGAAAGAGGAAAAAATATAATTTGATAAATAGTATAGGATGGGCCACAAAGGTTAAACTGGAAGCACACAAAACTTTAGGGTCCACTAAAAGAATTTTAAATAAGAACAACAAAGAGGTAGATTTGTCCAATATGAAAAGGCTAAAAGATACATTTATAAATGTTCTCCAAATACAAAACATTTATAAATGTTCTCCAAAACATTTTTGCTCTGCAGTGAATGAAGGTATTTCCCCAAGCTTCATATTAGAGCTAGCCTCTAAATGCCCAACGCTTCTTGCCCAGTGCTACAAGAAGCTAATGGTTAGGGGCAAATCTTTGTAAATCACTCTTTGCAGCACATTCTGTTTAGAACAAACTTTTTAATGTAAATTATTTTGTAAGTGTATCATGGAGTACTGTGCATAGTTGAGGTCAACTCAAAAAAAATATTGTAGAACTCAAATAGGTTCAGAAAAGGCAATCAATAATCATCAAGGGATTGAAGCAGCTCTTAAGGAACATTTAAGTTTAGAAAAGAAATGCAGTAAGAGGGGATGTATAAGATGGTGTGTGGTGTGAAGAAAGTGGATAGAGAGAAGCTTTTATCCTCTATCTCATAATAGGTAGAAGAGAAAAGCTTGCTGGATCAGGCCAAGACTCATCAAGTCCTGAATCCTGTTTCTAACCAGAAGCCTATGGGAAGCAGGACATGAGCACAATTGCTCCTGCAATTTCCAGCAACTGGTATTCGGAAGCATATTGCCTCCAGTCATGGGGAGGGAGCATAGCCAACATGACTAGTAGCCACCAATAGCCTTAACTAATAATAACTGAAAACACAAATTCTCTCTCTTTTGAAATATTCAAGTTAGTTACCACCACTTCTTCCTGTGGGGAGGAATTCCATAGTTCAGCCAGGCACTGTCATGCCCTGTGCTACTGCTGATGCCATATTATATGATGCCAGGTGTGTGGCAGGTAAAAACGTCACTCAGCTGAAAGGGCTGTGCAGACACTGCTGATCATCCTGTGCAAAGCACTGAGGAAGGCAGCACTTTGAAAGGGGCTTCTATAAACCCAACAACCAGTTGATTGTTGGGTCATGGGAAGCCCCTTCAAAGAGCTGTGGTGTGCAGTGTTTTGCAAGAGCCCTGCAGGCATCAGGTCACCTTATACCACTGTGGTGTGCTGCTTGTCCCATTAAGGATGGGGGAGATAATGAATTTGCCTGCTGGTCCGATCCAGTCCCCAACCCCACCAAGTTCTTCCAAGGAAAGAAAGTCACCTGAAGCTGGAAGTGATTCCTGAAAGGAACAGAAAAGGGCCTAGGAATACTGGAAACTGCTAAAGGACTCTGTACTCCACAGGTTTCCAGGATGCCTGCTTATAAAGAATCATTCTTCCTATAGTGGCCCTAACCTTGTGTGTCCTACAAGCTGAACACCTGTGAGAATTCACATTACCAACTACAGTGGACCCTCTGGGTACAAACTTAATTTGTTCCGGGGGTCTGGATTTACTCCTGGATTTGCCGTGGCTGTAACCTGAAGATTCCATATCCAGAAGGATACGTAAGTAGAGGTATGACTGTATATAGTGCAACTCCAATACGGAATGTAAGAAATCCAGTTTCCAGCCATTCTCAAAAAAATGTTTGAATTGGCTTGTGACATGAATTTATTTTCAGATTCTTTGGACTAAAGTGCAGTCCAATGATAAATATTTAATTTCAGACTAAGAACACTAGCTTTTACCCTACCCTTTATATGCTTCCTCCGCCATCCATTTCTGTAGCCCACTAAACTTACCAGTATATAAATACCATGTATGTATGCAAGTATCTATCTATTTTTATGTATCTAAAAGGAAAGCAGAAGGTCAGAGATGAACTTTCTCTCCTTTTCATTTTTTGCCTCTGTACAATAACTCCTACGGAGTACGGTGCAAGTCACCATCTCACTTTGCAAGGTGACCCCTGAAACTTTATAAAACCATATTTTGTCTTGCCTTGTTTTTAACAAACTCTCAACCATCCAAAGGATTTTCCATATGAAATTGTTTACCAATCAGCCTCTGAGCCTGGTGGAGGACACTTGACATTACGGAAGGTTCAGGACAATATTCTATTGCTCAGAGTCAGTTCCAGTGGGGCCCTGGCCATTCTTTTTGACCAATTATTACGTCACACCATGGAAGCAGACTTGGACGCCAGGTTATGGGTGCCCAGTGCACATGTTCTTCTGTATCTGAAAACTGTAGTGAAATATAGATAGTGGTAGGACAGCTGTCTTCTATGGACTCTGCTTTCTAATGAACCTCTTAAAAAAATTAGTCTAACTGGTTTTCTTTAAGTTGGGTAGAATTAGTGCTGTGCTGAAAACCTGTTCTGCCGTTCACTCATTGAATGAGGGAAAAAAATGAATTTGAAAATTATAAAAGCTGAGAGGGGGAAAATGGTGAAATTCTCATAGGTCAGATGCATTTTTTTGGTCAATATCACCGTACATTTGAGGTGGCCAAGGGGTGCTTATGTGTATCCTTTATTTCATTCTACAAATTTTTTCACCTGTGGTCTGCACTCCACAACATTCCTGGGTGCCCACACATCAATTAAAGCCTACAGAAGACATACTGTAACTCTGCTTATTGAGTTGTTTCAGCACACAAAACACAGGGCACCTGGGAGATTGCAAAGTGCTGAAGAAATGTACCTTGGCAGAAGCACCTCCTTCCACCATACCAAAGCCGGGGCAGGGGGCATTCCCAGCCCTGCCATGGCTGCAACAGAGCTTCAACAGCTGCTCCCAGCAAGGTTTGGCAGGAACAGGCACTCCTTCTGTTATTGGCTGGTTCCAAGTTTCAAAGCAGATCTCATTCTCTCATGCGATATTCTTATTCTCCATTGATTTCCGATTATTTTTCTGGGGGGAGGGATCTAGTTCAGCATTGCCTAACAGCCTGGAGCAATTTGTTAAGAAGAAGAAAGAGAAGAAGCAGAAGAGAAGAAAAGATATAGCAACCAGGGTAGTTTCATGAATTACTTTTCTTAACAGAACTAATTTAAACATTAAGGAGAAATCACACCATCCATTTAGGGCAAGCTGAGAGCCAAGAAACTGGGGGGCTTTTATGACAGACATGCAGATTGCTCCTCTTTATATAAGAAGCTTAGCTCTGGCTTTAGCTGTACATTATGTCACCATTGAATGCACGGATCTGTGTAAATGGCCAGGAACAGAGCATTCAGTAAAACAGCCTTATCTAACAATCACCACCCTTTTCAAACCACAGTTCTCCCTTCCCAAAAGCTAAAAGGTCACTAAAGCAATGCTAAGTACATTTATAATGCCCACTGTCTACATTTAACACTGGAAAACCTTCCAGGATTCCTGGCTTCAGATTGTACTTGTTAATATAATGCCTGTCAGGAAGTCTCTCCAATGTGAGCTGGAAGCAGCTCTCCCAGGTAAACACATCGCCAATAAATGCATCTATCTCTCTTGAAATTCTTGTCATGGGATTTCCCCATCCATTTAGACCTTATGCTCTGCCTATTAGTTCAGATAACAGCCTTTTTCCACTGAAGTAACATGGCTTGTAGAATTAACATCAATTATACTTTAGTACTGCTCATGAATATCCTAGAGGAAATGTAAAGCATGAAGCCTTTATTTTCCACTGTAGGATGATGGCTTGCCAATCAGTGCTACATGATGACAGTATCACATCTTTATCATTGTGTAGATTACTGGAGAGATGGGGGTTAGGGAACTGCCAGCCCATTTGGTGGATGAAGCTGGTGAAACCATTTTGAACAACTTGAAATTCCCCAACTTTATTCTTGGTGATAGAAGCATGATAAAAGATACCTGCTACTTCTAGTATTTGGTTGGATAGTGTTCTCGAAGCTACCAGCATGAGTTTGACTAACCTGCGGGAGGCAGTGGAAGACAGAAGTGCCTGGCATGCTTTGGTCCATGGGGTCACGAAGAGTCGGACACGACTAAACGACTAAACAACAACAACAAAACTTCCAGTATTATAAAACAATGAGGAAAAAGTTCTCCCTATCCAATTGTCTGTACCATGCATAATCTTATACACCTCTGTTTTGCTCCTTGTTGCTTGTCTTCCCCCTGTAAACTAAAAGCCCCACACTTTAAAACATTTTCTCAAAGGAAAGTTGCACCCAGCCCCTTGATCAACTTGGTTGTCTTTTTCTGAATCTTTTCTGATTCTACAACATGCTTTTCAAGGGGCAGAGACCAGAATTCTACAAATATTCTAAGTATGGTCACACCATTGTTTGGTATAATGACATTATGTTAATGGTAGTTTTGTTTTCATCATTAAAACATACCACCCGGCTCCCCATTGTTATGAGAGCATAAGTATGAGACATGCTTCTGATTTTAATTCAGCTAAAAAAATACTACTGCATTTAGGATGTAATCCCGGAAGACATCATGGTGCTAGTCAACGTTAGTCATACTTAGAGTAGAACCACTGAGAGAAGTGGGCTTGCATTTCTTAAACCCATTGATTTAAATCAGTCTACTCTAGGTATGGATCTGGAAACTAATGTTGGACATTATCCTTAACCAGGAAACCTTTTTCTCAACATTTTGGATTGGAATAAAAGTTTCATAGCTTTGTCATGACTAATAACATACCACAAGCAGCAGAAAGCTGCCAATCCTTTGGAACAGCAATATTTTTCTAATGATTTTGTGATGTTTTGCTAAACAAAAAATGATGAGTTCATATTTGCAATTGCCAATATTGTACTTTTAATATTTGCACAGTAATGACTTATAAAATTACTTGCAGTCCCCAAGTGAGCAGTTATTAATAGTAAACATTTTAGCAATCTTAAACTCATGGCAACGAAGAGTATTGTTTATTCCAAATACAAGCTTTTTAAAAAAGTTTCTGATTTTAAATGTGGAAAATACCATTATGTGCCTGTAATCTGAGTGGTGAGAAATCTAGCAGAAGCAATATGAGCTTCCTTTGAATGAACTGGAGACTTATGATGTCTTCATAACATTTTACTTTAATTGACACATATAGAAATAGAATGACATACATAGGAACACAGGAATCTGCCTTATAACAAGTCAGGCCATTGGTCCATCTAGCTCAGTATTGTCTACACTGAGTGGCAGAAGTTCTCTAGGGTTTGAGATGGGAGACATTCCCATTCCTATCTGCAGGCAGGGGTGCCAACTTGAATGAAATATCGTGGGGCCCCAGGTAAGCCCATCCCCACATAATCGATCACATGATGCAGTGCACACACATCATTTGAATGGGAATGCCAATCATCTTTGTGGGAGCCTGGCCCCCTCAAATATTTTATTGTGGGGGCCGAAGCTCCCACAACCCTAGGAGTTGGGGATTGAAGCTAGGATTATCTGCAGGCAAAACAGATCATCTATCACTGAGCCACAGCTACTCCACCTTATTATGTACTGAAAAGTACACAAGTAGAAGAAAACAGACATTTCCCGAAAAGCAGTTTAAGCAAGGTAGCACTGTGTTTTAGAGATAATTGCCCCAGAACTATTCTCTTCTCTCTCTCCCTCTTAATTCCAAGCGCTTATTGCACATCCACCTGAGAAGCCTAGGTCCTCCACCTACGCAGGTCAATTGTCTATTCCAGCCACCATTAAAAGAACATCAACATTTTTGAGCCACAGCTGGGACTTTATAATCAGGTGACAATTTAGTACAAAACCCGACTGATAGGCCCATTCACACAGTTTACTCATAACCATCTATGCATGAGTATTATTACAGAGCTGAGCGTTGTGAGGTATTCAAAGGACTCAGGCCACAAATTTGTACAAAATCAGAATATGCTAATTTATAAGCATAGAGGGTTGATTATGCTTTGAGGTGTGCCCAAGTGCCATATATACAAAGTTAACAAGGGGGTGCAGGACATCTGAGGTCCACCACAAAATATGCACTCGGTTCCCATGGAGCACCCTTTAACAACACCCCAAGTTGTGCCAACGTGAAATGCAAATATCACAATAAAGCATTAAAATAATACAATAACTTCTGAGAACATGAAAGATTTGAGTTGATGCTTTTTGTTTTGTTTTGTTTTGGAGATGTGTTCTTTAAAAAATTAAGTGCTTCTAATAGGCTGGATTTTTGAACCTGCACGTATTTTCTTATAATGGCACCTTATTGATATCAATGGAACTTACTTTAATATAAGTTTATTTCCTTTCCTTTCCAGGATTACAATAACAATGCATCCTTATTAACCCAATTAGGTGTGAGAATAACAAGCTATTCTCCCCATAAGCATGCATCTAAAATCTGCATTCTAGATTAATATTTCTCTTCTTCCATAACATTTACAAAAGATTAATGTAGCATTTGTTCCCGCAGCATCTCTCTCTCCTTCTGGTACAATTCCCATGGCTTATAATTTTGTGGTTTAGAATTTAAGAAACTGTTTTCTTTTGATAATTTATGCTTTCAGGAGTACAGCTGGGGTGTTAAATTAATGTACATAGGGTGATGTGTGGTGTTGTGATTGCAGACTTCCATTCTAATATCCTGTCACCTCTCTGCAACATGCCTATATGAGTATGTTTCCATGTTCATAGTCATGATCACTATGTTCTAAGAAGTCCCACATGCAAGATATTCAGCTGTGGATTAAGTCCTGAGCCAGAAACCTAAACAAAAAAAAAATGAAAACATTGGAAGAATGAATTTCACACTGGAGTTTATTTTACCTTGAGATTGTCTTCAAGTACTACATTCTCTGACGTTTGAACACTGATGTTCCTGCCCACAATATTTCACTGACATATTGTTTTAAAGTTTCCAATAACATTTGCTACATAGTAATCAAAAATGTTTAACGAGTGGCTGTTATTCCTCACAACAGGTGAGGAATAAAACTCAACATTTATGAATATGTGTCAGGCCATATAAATTTGGCATTAAATGGCTGTGAAGTGGTTGTAATATTTAACATTTAACTATCTATTACATAAATCACTTTATTTGTAATTAGGTTGTCATCCATCTAAAGGAGGAGTGCAGAGTCATCCTGACGAGGGCTGTCTCTGAGCTTTTGGCCACTATTTTAAACTGTGACTCCTGTCTTGTTTAA